ATTTATACTCATTCTTAGATTCATAAGACAACGGATCAGTAGGTTCATACCATGATCATGATCGTAAAAAGCAAAGCTACCGCCGGTTTTTTGTCGCTCCAGGTAAATGCCGGTGGTTAACTATCGTTTTAGCACACATTATACCGAACGTTCAACAGGTGATATACCTCCGGTTTTGTTCCGATTCGAATCACATAGGATAGTATATTTTACTTTAAAACTAAAAATCATACGAATAAAAACAAGTGATTCAATAACATATTTCACGCTATGTTTCAGTTTTATCAAGGACTGAAGCCGAAAACTATTTGATTGGGGATAGTCGATTATCATCATGAGTAACTATTTCTATTTCTCGATTTTTTTAAAACTGAGATAATACTTTTCCGCAAATTACTCTTATCGGTAAGCTCTATCGAAGGTTAATTAAGGTTTTTATTGATGCCGATCTTTTCTTGTACACATATAAAAGTGCGGAGATGCAGCGACATCTTTCGAATATTCCATCGCTCACATTAAAAGGAAAGAGATATTCTTCAGAAAACTGGTTATAGTTCAAATGAAAAAGCATGTATAATCATATTGAATTTCATTTTGAACGATGGCTGAACAGTTGTCAATTCTATACAAACCGTCAGATGGATCCGAATTTATATGAAGATAACACGAACGAACATCTATCGTAGCTTAACTACTACCGACCAATCGCCGGAGCGCCATAAAATACCGGCTGATTTCCAACAGATACCCAGGTTTTCCTTGATCACTAAGACAAACAACGCATCAAACATTAACAAGTGATATGTGACTTAACAAGAGCCATGCTCATGTCTTATACCATTGGAAAAACTTATGAATCACACGAATCTCTCCCAGACAACTAACAGAAACATGTTAATTCCCTAAGGTAAACAATTATTGAATTTCCGACGACAGTTTAGAATTCACTCCAGCAACTGAATTACATTCTACACGTTTCCGCGTTCAATTCAATATCGAACAACAAATCTTCATCTACTTCATACTTTTCGACATATTGCGAGAATTCAAAGAAATCTGTCAATAAATTTCAACGCTTCGACTCCTTCTCAGCTTTACCGAAACACATTGCAACTTCTCATCTGTTAACTTGACCTCATGAAACGACAAAATAATACTCTACCGATTGATAACAAAACGATTTAGTTGAAAGGTGAACAATGAAGACGAAAAAAAATTCAATACTACAATTGATTTACAACTTTCACAGTGGAAATTCAACATTTTTCTGCTTATCATTTCAGCTGCATTAAACACTGAATAAAACTTTGTATTGTGTCATATAAACGTTTTAGAGTTGATGAATTTCATTCGAGAGAAAATGGTTAAAGAATGAAAGATGGAAAAGGAAATTTTAACATCACTCGTTTATGCTTCTTTCAGGACATGCGATAAAAGCTTAGGTCTGTCGGAAGTTCAGTTGCATAAACTACAGAATTAAAGTGGAGTATGCTAATGTTTTAGGAGACAATAATCATGAAAAGCATCTTTATGCAGCACAGTAGAAGGTCCTGAATGAAAAATCAGTTGATATCTTTTTGAGTAGTAACATTATGATCGAAAAAGAAACAACTTTCGATCGTTAGAAGTTTTTAGATGTTGGTACTATGAATGAATACACTGGTAAGTCATGCCCTTCTTGTCAGACGTACATGTTCAAAGAAGAAATTCGTAGACGAATATTTTCATGATGTCATTCAGAGTGTGGGTGTGGATATCGTTTTCAGCCACACCCACACTCTTCTTGTTTACTTCCATACGATTATGCCGGTGTTAGGACTATTCAACAGGACCCCATGAGTTGGCTTCGCCCTCGGTTACTAAAATCCATCATGTTGATCGTGCTCATTATATCCTTCCTTCAATGGAACTGGTATATTCGAAATCATCATTAGATATATTTGTGGATGCTGGTGTGAGTGAAGAGAAGAACCACATCCGTATCCCGTGGAAACGTATCTAATAATATTCGGTTTTCCATCATCTGGTTGAGAGGGTTAGAGGGAGCCGCAAAATTTTTGACATAAACTTACACTATTATTTTCTTCGAAAATATGTGAGTTTCACAAAAAGAATAAACATAAATTAATCGAATGAATAAGCCTAATCGAACAGAGAAATAAGATTTAAAAAAAGAGATGCAATTCATTATTGTCACAGAAATAAGAAAGAAAAAAATGATTATAATTATTTAACGAAGATGCATCATCATCAATTCTTCTCTTATTTGATCTGATATCCATTCCATATAACTTATGATTCAGGCATTTTTCGAAATTGTTTTATATTATATTGTTCAACCAGTAATAGGTGACAAACAATGAAGATGGTAATGCTGATGTTAGTGTTGATGAATCCCTTAAATCAGAATTTGCAGATGAATTGTTGTATGAATCCATATGTCTATTCAGAAGTATATTCATGAGTACAGTTAAATATATAAGGTGTCTGTTTTACTTGAACATTGAAGCAATTTTGGTCATGATTTTTGAGTGGTACTCAATTAAAAGAAAAACGACAACTAAAATCGATGAAGATTACCGTACAGAGTAAAGAAAAACAATCCTAATTACAGCTTTACTCAGTGATGATGTGGGTTGCGGTAATAAAATAAAATATATTAACATTGACAAGTGAACGAGCAGATAAATATTTACATTTTTGGAAGTCTTACAAACTGGTTTTACTACACATTTTGAGATCGATATTCAGAAAGACATCAGATATATTGGAAGTAACCTAACAAATATTCGTCATTTATATATGTTTATCATGAACACTAAATTTCTTTTTCAAAAAATAAGAGAAATATTCATGAAAAATGTGTTTATCGTCATAAAATGCACGATTTATGAATAATTGATAAGAGAAAAAATGTTGTTTTTATATATAAACATGAATGTGTTCCAGACACGAACGACCCAATTTAAACAAGATGCGAGATACGGAAAATTGAGTTCTACATCCAAAGACTTTTATATTTTATAATTCAATGAATGTATGATATACTGAGGTTCCGAAACAAATTCATTTGATATGTTTCTTAGTGTAATGCGTTCCCCTGTTTCATAATAGACGCATTTAATAAGTCATCAAAAATATTGTCAACAAAGTTACTGATGTCGGACATGAATCTTATAAACGCTATTCGCTTTTCTCTCCGTTTTAGTAGAAAATCGTAAAAAGCTAATGATCTATGCCCGTATCTACACCCTCACCACTTAATAAGGTTGGTTTGAACAGAAATTTTCAGGAATGAGTGGCTCTAGTGAGAAACTTTCTTGGCAACAATTTCAGCCCGAAATATCGAACAAGATCGTAGTTTCGACTTACTAGTAGTCTATTTATAGCCTTCAGAAAAATTTCTAAAGTGTTGTTGTTAAAAGAGTCACAGAGTTTTTTGTACTTTTTCAGCAAAAAAAAAATCTTTAAAGGCTGAAATCTTTAATTGAATTAGTCGCGATAGACAATTAATTTAAATGATAATACCACATAATATGAACAAATGTCATCGACTGATTGTCATCCTTGACCGACGATATGCTTTCAAAATAAAAGAAAAGATTTATTATTCCATAAAAAACATTTAGTAATTGATATTTTGTTCATAACTATTGAAACCGATTGAATCTCTTTGGCAAATCGCAAAACAGGATCTGACTGTTGGACATGTATTTATCCATCTTGATTTTCTTGGGATGGCACTACATTTCGGCTGTCTATATCTAAATACATACAACATTCGCTGAACTATATGATTATTCTTTAACTCATCAATCAATCGTTTTACTCTCAAAGGGATATATGAAAAAATTTGCTGTTCATTACTGCTCATTTCTCTGACATCTTCTCGAACACGTCGAAACGCTTTGTTAAAAGTTAGAATAACTAATAGTACAACCGATTAACACCATGAAATAAAGAAAAACTGCAACAATAAATGGACTGAGACAGGCATTCGGATTCTAGAATTCGGTCGACTCAAATTTGAATACCAACTTTTTCAAGAATAATTCACCTGTTGTAAGAACATTCGAGCAGCACATCATTTTGGATGTAAATAGTGGAGTGAATAAAATAGTAAATGGATTAGATGTCTTTGGACAACGTCTCCGGAAACTCAATTAAGCCCTAGTATAAGAAATATAGGAGATATATGGGGTATAAGAGATGTATCTCCAGTATGTCCTATATCTTTTATATCTGGACATTGCATTGACCAAATCTATCAGGACTTATATTAATTTCCTGGAAAATTCATAGAAGACATCATGTAATCTTGTCGTACAAAATCTTTATAAACAAAACAAATACATACAATGTTCAAAACTTTTTATTTTATCTGATATAGTTGCATAATTATTTGATTGATCAATAGCACTTAGTAATCTATCTTCATCCTCATCATCACATTTATGTATTATTGATGATGTTGTTATGCTTGAAATTTCAGTTAATGATCGTTTATTATTATGTAATAATAAAGATTTTAGTGAACCTGCATTTGCTAATGTTACACTACGGCGTACGGGTTCTGGCGTATGAATTAATATATTTTATTAAAGTCGTGTTTGAATCATTGAATGCTTTAAGTCTACCTCGCTATTATTTGTTTCATTTGATTTTAATGATATGCTTTGATGTGCTGGCCAATCTTTTGATGAGAGAAGGTCTTTGTTTTTGCGTAAGATATTTCAAGCATATTAAACATATATTGTGCAAAGAAAGGGTTATAATCAAAAATATTTTTTGTTGAATGATTGACTTGAATGTTCCATCTTTTTTTTTTTTGATTATAAAAGGATTATATTCATTGTAGATTGAAAAACTGATTTTGGATATCGTATTTTTCAAAAGGTTTGTACGAAGTTTTTGATATTATCAACAAGCACTTCATCGTCAAGAACCGACTTATTAGCTAAACAAAAATTCGAAAATGAAAATTGTATTGCAAAAATAATTCAAACTTGAAATACTGCTGATCGTAATTGAATCCCATTATGAAGATAAATATTTGAATTATCAAGACAAAATTGACCAGAAAGTCTCTTTTCACGAATTAGTGGTGAGATTGAAAATGAACTTACAATTAGATTATCATTTGTAACTAAAAAATATTTTCAAAAAAGACTATAATCCATCTGCAAGTAAACGAAACCTACTTGTAGAATTAACTTGTCGATATTTGAACATCAGTTGATAATTTATCATGATTGAAGTTCCTGCAGCTGGTAATGAAGAATTTAGTCCAATAAAAAATTCATCTCTTCCAGTAGGTAATAAATATGAACGAAGAGCAATAGATTCTTCATGTTCAAATAATTCAAGCATTGTAACAAAACGTGATAATAATGATTTTAATATTAGTGCACCTTGTCATGTTTCACGATAAACTTTTTCAACAACTTCCATTTGAATTTGAGCAATTTTTATCATGTAGCATGCAATTATATTAATAAAATAGAGTGATTATTATAAAACTGGTGGAGAGCAAGTTTTCATGCTCTCATCAAAATAATCCACTTGTTTTATTTCAACAATTGTATTTTATTTTATTTTTTTTGGTCCATCTGTTTAATTAGCTTAATCGAAGCACACTTCATTTTGTTTAACGGTAATCAAAACTGTATTAATTGAGTCAAACTTATCTCACACACTTTTTTGTTGAAGATAAAACTTAGGTTCGGATATTCGTTCATATTAGTCTAAATTCTAGACTACTGAGCCGAATAAGATCCACAATCTTAATTGGTTACACTCTTGGGTTTCTATCTGTTCTTCTTATCGTGAAACTTGTAAGCCAACTGGGAGCAAAACTTGTGGATATGGGTATGGATCGTGGATGAAAGCAAGGGGCGTGCTCACACCTAGGGCGTGGGTGGGTGTGGGTGTGGGTGTGGTGTATGGGTGTAGATGTGGGGTGTGGGTGTGGTGTATGGGTGTGGATGTGAGGTGTGGATGTGGCTGTGAGTGGGTTTGGATGTGAATAAACACAAGACCCACACCCACACCCACCCCATCTCACACCTACACCCACACCCACCAACACCCACACCCACACCCTCAAGAATTGAAAAAGGTTGTGTTGAAAAATAATCGGTTGAATGAAAATTGGATGAACCTTAAGAATAGGGTAAAAACTCAAATATTATCATGGGTCAGCACAGATTAAATGGGACAAAATCAATTTCTTTCTTTTGATTCACTCTGATGTATTTTCAAAAAGTCATTCAATAGAAAATTTTATACTCTCTAATTTCATGACAGAGCCCATCGGGTTGGATCCGACATATGTTGTGTAGAGCGTGCTAGTGGCTGAATCTAAATAAACAAAAGAAAAAGTATCCCGTATCTTAGGAGCAATTATCAAAACAGATTGAAAAAAATATTGAGAATATTATGAGTATGAATCGGATCCAGATCCCGAAATTTCGGACTCCACAGTCTGTACTCCATGATTTTTCAAGATTTTTGGGGTTATCTTTCATTTGTGTATATGGAAGCCTTAACTAGATTTTCTTTCATTAAAAAATTCCGAAGTTTTAAAGATAGTCTCGTCTGAGAGACATGGCACTATCAATATATAAGTTCTATTCCATAGATCGATGCATCGAACATGAATTTTCTCAAAGCTTTAGATTTACTTAAGTAGAAGAGACTTTATTTAAAACTTCTGAATTATTTATGTAAGCTTATGTACCTAAGGTTTCTATGTGCGCAAAGTTTAAGATCATAATTCGATGATTCGATTTTTCCAAAAACTTGCAGTCATCTAGAAAATATACATATAAAAAGTTTGATAGATTAACCAAATTTAAATAGGAACCGAGATGCTTTTATTGTTTCTCATTACAAAATACTACGTAGTGTCTATAGTAAAAAAAAAATCATTAAAATCGAAAAGAGATACCTGAAGAGATTTCCTTGTAAGTCGCAAACTGAAAACGACTAGATTGTATCAGATAAAAAAAAGATAATCAGATAGTCTTGTCAGACAATTTTTTTTCTCATTTTGTATTTAAAGATTCTTCTCGGAAATATTTCTTCTATGATTCTGAAACAAACACTAAAAGATATAGAATTTTGTGATGTGTTTGAAATCTCAACAAATCGTTGCTAAAAAAAAATTTGCATCATTTTTCCATTTTTTTCGACCGTTACAGTTGATTGATCAACTAAGTGTTGATATTTTAAATTTTGTTCCAACAAGAAAAATTTTTCTCAAAAAAACAAACGAAACAGTTTTGTAGAGCGAAACATTTTTTTATCGAATGACTTTCTGAAACTATATCGAAGTGACCCAAAAAAAAGAAAACGTTTTTGTCCCATTGAATGTGCGCTATACGTTAATTTTCTTCAATGGATTTTTTGAAATTATTTAAATTTCAATAAAATACCTTATATTATATCTTCATTTGTAGTTGAGGAGAATTATCAATTTGGTCCGAAAGGATAACGATTGATCTTGAAACATCTTGTTCATTCATCTTCTCTTCATTAATAATTAAAATCGTTAATCATTGGCTGAGGGGGCTTCATTTTTAAATAGATGACAAATCTCTGTGAGGATTTCGAGAAAAAAAAAGTTATGGATAAAATGTATAACTACTACTTGCATACCATGTTCATCAACAGCATAAATTAATACATTTAATAGCATCGTCTGGTCATTTTGATTATTACGATCAATATCCATTTGATATATATTCTAAAACAAGAAACATCAAGAAAAAAAAATTTGAAAAATGAAGCGTTTCCATAAATTATCTTTCTATTTATTCGATAGACGAATAAAGAAATAATTCAAAAGATGTTCGAAGAAAATTATTATGTATTTAGTATGAGTACAATCGGGATTTAATAAAGTTTGATTTTGTCCGGGTCCAATTGGAATTCGCATTTTATCCGGATAAAATTAGAATTCGATGAAAGAGAAATTCATACAAGCATGTGCCTAACTGAAAGTTGAATGGAATGAAAATAAAATGGTATGGAAATTCAGCTCATAGTAGAAGAAGGATGTAAAGCATATAACATTTTCTTGTTAAATTTTTCGTATTGCACGAATAACAAAAACTCTTAGTACTTATAGAATTCAATGACAATTTACAACTATTGTTGGGAGTTGTTGTTGGATTTACATTTAATCTTCTTCTGGTTATTATGGTAAAACACACTCCTTTATTTTACTTGTTAACATTTCAAAATCTCTTGGAAACAACATCATGTTTTACTCTCTGTGCTGTTTAAGTACTATAAACATTGACATTTATCGTCCCGTTTTTTGAATTAACTGTGCCTCTTGTATGCACACAAATGAATGAGATCCTATTCGTTAATATTAATGTCAAACTTATTTACTATTATCTACAGTTTGCAAGCTTTTGTTTTAACGAATGCATACTTATTTAACATACATTAGATGTTTTCTCTTATGGAAAGGATATCAACACTAGATACTAGATCAATTCTCGAGTAGTAATTTTTTATTGATGGTAATAAATGATTATCGTTTATGTAGCAATCAACTTCAATTATTTGATCGAATTCCTTTCCTTTTATTATAATATGAGACGCTATACGACATCTATTAAATTATATTCAGTCGTTTATTGAAGCAAAATATTGATGCGATATGGTCCATGTGCCAACTGAATCAACTCCATATGCTTTACAAATCTTTCATGAAGAAAAAGCTTTGATCATTTCCACGCTGGTCTGTGGATATAAGTTTTCTGTTAAGCGGTCCCACCCACACCCACATCCCACACCCCGCACCCTCGCTCTGTTGATAGCTCCTCGACAGTTTAGGAGTTTCTATTTCTCAGTTCTTGAAAATTGCTGGAGAGCCTTGAACTCGGCTGTAGTTGCATAGAATATGACTCAGTATGCAAAATTGAATTGAACTTGCAGATTACGAAAAACGATCATTGATAGTGACCGTATTTATGTATCATTTATTATTTACGCAGACATGAAAAGGAAAGAAATACTATTACAAAAAATAAAAGACATTAAAGCAGAAATATACATTAATAATCAGCGTTTCTTTTTCTTTAACAATCAACGAATAAATCTAAAAGAAAATATAAGATAAGATTTCGATAATACTAATGTTGTTCCAAGATATCACAACATTTTCTCAAAACAAATGAAATCTCTTTTCTTCATTTACTTTTATGAATTGAAATTTACATGTGTTTGCATCATCGTTCGATACTTTTTGATTGTCTTCCAAAATTCTTTTTTGTAAGGCTTTGATGGTAACACAAAAATAACAAAAGTAAGCATAGGTGGAATGAATGATATAAAGTATCCAGCAAGAAAAAGCCATGAATCATTAACTGAATTCATACAACCTGAAATGAGAGAAAAAATTAAACGTGGTATAGCAAGAATGACCAAGACAATTGGAGCAATCAGGATACGACTGTGCTGTAGAATCTGTTGCTGTAAGATATTTTGATAACTTTGTTGAACATGAACAGTGCTTCGTAGATGAGCAGTTGTTTTAATAATAATCATTGACGAAACCAAATTGATAATAAATGCAGAAAAAAATTGAAATATATTTATGATTGAATTGTAGACTTGTACATTGGATGAATAAGTAACAACACACCAAATTCGTTTCTCTCCATTATCATTATTATCATAAATTAAACGTCGATGAAATGGATCATGAAGATTTGTGCTAATTGTCAATAAGAGAATACCTAGAATGATGTATTTGGCCATTTTTTTGCTTTTCTTCTTGTTAAAATAAATTCCTTTCTTCGTAGTGATTACTCTTTCAACGGCAACACATGCATTCAACCATTGGTCCATATTAAGACCAATGCGTAGAAGAAAATCAATTGAAATACATTGAAAATATAGAAATGATCGATTCATGTTGTACGATATTTGTGCAACAATCAGTATCCAGAATTTCAGTGCAAACATAGTCATAGTAAATAGAGTCGTGATTGATGATCCCAATAGATAAAAGCCACAACCTATATGTCGGGATTCTTTGTTCTTAAACGTAATTACCGATAGAATACCATTGATAAGTCCTGTTATAGTCATTATCATAGTTAGTACCATGCTCATTTGTACTATAGGTGGTTGTTGTATAATATTGATATGTGGTAAAATACGATAACCTAAAATGCCATCGAGTGAAAGGCCAAATCCACTTGAACTAAATTGACATCGTGTTCCATAGAAGCATCTAGAACAAAGACACATGAGCATTTTTTGACAAACTCCACGGTCTTGCAAACATTTTCCTCCATTTTCACAGTGTTGTCGTCCGAGACAATCAAGTTTTTGATTGGGATCAAATTCAAAACAATTGGCTACACGATGATGGCCAAAGTTATTACACGTACAGAAATGTGTATCATCATAGAAACAAGACAATGATGGTGATGTTTCTTGACATGGTACATGATAATATTTAATGCGACGAATAAGATGTAATTTGACAATAGTGTCATTCAATATTTCGCTTAAATGTTTACAACGATCTGATGGATTGACTTTTGTTACAAAAGTCACCGACGCATTGTGGGACACTTGAACAGCAATTATATAGATGCCCTTGTCGAATAATTGAATTAAAGCAATGTTGAAACGATATGCCCAGTGAATGGTGACTATATTTTGATGGAGAAGAATTGTTTTGAAAGCACTGCGATTACTATATAAGTTGCCGTCCATTGTTTCAATGAAATGAACAATCATGGATTGTGGCAATTGAATATCTTTATGAAATGATACTGTAATTTTCGTGTCGGGCATCTCGCAACTGTGTCCAGTAAAGCCTTTTGGGCAAATACAAAAGAATCCATTGTGGAATGACCAAGGTCTATCAGCAGGTATGCATTGACCACCATTAAGACATACATTTTTATTAGATTGGCAAATTGTATTTTCAATTAAACATCGAGAACCAAATTTATGCATCGGACAAACACAGATAGATCGATTATTTGGTAAAACCCCAATACATAACGAATCGGATGAACACATACAACTATGTGGAATAGTACAGTATCGTCCAGACCATCCTTGATTACAACGACAAAACGTAGTACCTTTAGGATCTTCTGAATATCTGATACATTGACCATGTCTGCATGGTTGATTTACACAAGTTTGAATATTATTGTCTATGTGTGGAATGGAAAACTGAACAGCAATACGATGTACAGGCAGAAAATGAAACTTAAGTGGCACAAGAAAGCTTCCTCGATAAGTTAATGAAATCGTTTCATAGATGTCAATATGTATCGAATAGTGCATTGTATGATTTTTTGGTCGAGTGGAATAAAGTAAATAAGTATTGTATTTGGTGTGACAGTCTTGCAAGTACTGATAGGCTAATTTTTGATATGAATGAATAATTCGCTCATCACTATCATCAATAAGTAAAACTATAATAGAAAACATTGTTTGCCAAGAATCAGAATATGCATCATAGTTCGTAGTGAGACTAACTCGTTGATTTTGATATTGACAAATATTACCATAAAAACTTGGTGGACAGAGACATGTGATATCGGTCAAGTTTTTTTCTCTATCAATCCAAACACGTAAAGGAATACCACGATGACAACGTTGGCTATATTGACGAGTACTTTCGATGAAAGATGAAAATGAGACTCTTGTATCTGTATGTTTGATTAAAGGTTTGATTTCATCAAATGGAAAAGGCACCGTACGTATTGTATCCTTCTCGGGAAGGCGTCTACGAAGATTATTTTCGACATTAGAACGAATTCTTTTATAGTTTCTGTTACAAATAGATGTGACTGTGGTAAAATTATGATATCTATAACAATCCGTTGTATCACCTTCGTGGTTGCACATGGTGGAGTAAAAGCATGCTTGTTTGCACATTATACAAGGTAGAGAAGTGTAATTCTGACAGTAAAAATTATTTTGATTGTAAATATCGTTATTCGATTGGCATAATCTTGGCTCATCAGCACCTTCGAGACAATCGATTTTTCCATCATTGGCTTTTTCAAGAGGCAAACACATAGGTTGATTTGTCTCCGATGAGATACAAATGTGATGATGCAATGGGCATTGCAATGATTGCGATGGTTCACAGTCAACTTCATCGGCTCCATTCCAACAATTCCATATCTCATTACATCGAGTAAAAGTATTATTGCACTGCCATAGGTCACATTCAGTTTCATCTGTTTCATTTCGCCCATCAACAGTGATCGGTAACAGCTGTATGTCTCCATCACAAATTGCTTGAAATGCTATATGTCTTCTAGCTTCTTTTAAAAACATATATTCATCATCACATAAACCATCTTCATCACATCCACAATCACAAAAATTATTGTCGATCTTTTTATAATCAATACATTTATTTGTTGATGTACATTTAAAAACCATTGGAAGTTCACCTTTTAAACATAGATCATAATGTAAACTTGGTTGTTCATCATCTCCATAATCGCAATCGAATAGATCGTCACCAATACGATGCTTCGAAATACATTTCGACGAATTAATGCATTGATACATAAATGAATTGTTACAAACTGCAGGATTATTATTTTTGACAATTGTATTGCATTTATAGAGTTGTCTGAAAATGGGTTTGACATATGCATCCACCCAATTATCACTTTCTAATTCCGAAAAAATCAATGGAAAATCTTCTGGCCGACGACATGTGGCATTATGAAATAACAATAATGTTTTGTTGGTGTAAAATCCATCACACAGTTGTTCATTGTAGCAAACATATTGTGGTGGTAAACTATTAGTAATTGCTTTTAAAGCAGCCTGTTTGGTATAAGCTAAGTAAATATGGCCAAACAATATTGGAGCATTTGGAATATAGAACATATCAGGGCAAGTGTTATTGATTATTTCTTTACATGTTCTATTGAGACATATATCACGGCATTTTGGGTGTGATGAATCAGGAATTCCGAAGTTGCATCTGAATGCAAACCAACAATCATCGGATATTGAGTTTGATTCGTTCAAAAACATGGCTTGCAAGATGAGATGATCACGTTGCTTTAAACATGAAGTTGTGAACAAATTTTGATTACCCTCGTCTTTCGGACATCGGATATCTTCAAATGTAAATGATGGTCCAGATATGTCATATTTAGGACCATGGCCCCTCCCATAAGATTCGTCTGACTGATCAATGCATTCGATAGAAATACCATCTTGAACAAATAGATGAGATATACATTCTCCATTCTTACATCGAAATTCACTCTCTTCGCATTTATTGACTTCAAGTTGCCCGCAATGTTCTTCATCGATTCCATCATTAAGACAATCGATATGTCCGTCACAAATTTCCGTCCAGTCAAGACATGCCAAGTTTGAACCACGATTACATTCCAAATGAGTATAACATGTCAGAGTCATTGGTCGATAGTTTTCTTGATAGAAATTGTTGATGATCTCGTACAATGATGAACCATAAGGCATATAAATATCCAATGAATATTGACAAAGTGGACCAAATCTTGGTAATGTACAATTGTAGAATAATTGTGTTACTATTGATGGCGATTTATTTGAATTTGAAAGTTGATCCAAATAGAACTCATAATGTTCAACAATATCCATAGGTGCTGACCAGAGATATAATTGTTGACTTGTAATATTCCGCTTGTAGAGCTCAGCGAAAGTAAAGCTTTGATCGAAATTATTTTCTCGTATATTCCATTTTGATGGCCATTCACTCATACAGTAGGAAATTATCTGCTGAGGAGGAAACGAAAATTTTGTCGGAGCAAAAACATGAAGACAATCATGTTGCAACACAGTATTACTTTCACTGACACTTATCCAGTCTGTTAGATCAAGATTGATTTGAGGTAATGTGATCACCAAATGTAATAGTGTGAAACAGACAAGCTTTCTAAAGAATATCATTGTCTAACTATGTAACAAAATGAATAGAATAGACGGTATTCATATATTTCTAGTAATTGCTATATCATTTGTTTTTTTTCTCTACAAAAAATGCTTTAGAATGTTTCTTTTTTTTTTTATCAACAGCGAAATTCAATGTTGAATAAACTGGTTGGTTCCGTCATTCCGTGAGGAAAGTTTTAATTTTGTAGGATATCATGAAATAACACCGGATGACAACTCACATCTGGCATGATTTAGGTCGCAACTACGTCAGAGACAGAAACTAAAAGCATTACATTTGTGCATGTATGTTTGTTGCAAATGTTTGACTAAATATTTTAATTAATATAACATACTGCTTTCAGGCGTATTCAAAAGATATTTTTTTTTATTATCGTGACGAATCGGAACCAAACTAAAGTATGCTTTAATTAGTAAATTTTATTTTAGGGATTCAATTATCAATATCCATATCTGGAAAATAGTTCCAAACTAAACATGATGAAGACAATCAAACAACGTGAGTAAAGAGCAAAATGACTTTTATGATTTGGTTTATCTTCATTTAAACGTTTTTCAGAACTGAAGCACTCTCGACTACTAAATAAATTAGTCGGGTCGGTTGATTCAGTATAATCTTGGTCAAATACTGGTTATTATTAATTAGGATGGGTGAGGATATGGGTGTGGGTGTGGGTAGATGTGGGGCGTGGATGTGAAAAAGAGAAGACCCACACCCTAACCAGCTAGCAGCACGAACTTTTCTCAGACTATTCATAAATCATTATGAACCACATCATGCGTATATCCTCGGCTCAAAAGTGATGTGGCACTTGGGAATGTTCCCTTGTTAGTCACATTATTGCCATTATATGACTGGAAATCTCTTTTCTCCAGGTCAATGACACCTGCCCGTGAACGATCGTACCACTCAAATACAGCGAAAAACGGCAGCCATTTACGGTGACTGTTTAGGACAATTGTAAACGATGCTTTACGGTCTACTACATTTCATCGTATATGACAACTGTAAATGGTTCAATCAACGTTCACCGTTTTCTTTCTACTTCACCGTGAGGGGTGTGGGTGTGGGTGTGGGTGTGGGTAAATTCGTTATCCACCCACACCCACACCCAACCTCCCTCAACTTCAATTGTATTCATAAAAGCTCGTAAATTATGTGGCTTTGTCTCCCAAGACGAACTTTGAAGAAGTTTTTTTTCTTGACTATCATAATTTCGATAGACAACAAATTGAATTTGAAATGAATCCGAATTAATTTGATTATCTTTCAGAATATTTGAAGCACGTTCAAACATAATGCCTACTGTATTTTTACATTTATTCAACAAATGAGACATTGAACATGTTGTATCCATCAGACAAACAGTTCGTGAATATGAAATACCTTCGACTCCTTTATTTTCTTCAACTAAAAATTTTCTAATCGGAATTATATTTCCAGAATGAAGACTTAATAAAAATTTTTGAGCAATCTCATGTCTTTGTTTTGCTTGTTCAACATATTGCATATTTGCTTCATACTGAGTTTCAAAATAAATCAGTACGTTTAACATGAAGAAGATCATAGATTGTTTCGTATGTTTCTGTAAATCTAAGAGCATCAGTAACAGTATTAGTAATACGAGTTAGAAATCCTTTGCCTTTCTTAATATCTTCAATGTGTACTTTTTCTATATGGAATTTTTCTAGATCACGATCAAGTAAAATCATACTATAAGATCCTTGATCACTTTGTCTTGCAGTTCTACCTTTTATTTGTTTCTCTTCTGAAAATTCTTCTGAAAGAAATGTTTGAATAACATGTGTACCACCATTTGCTGCAACAGTTTGATCATGACATACAAAATCAGTTCCTCGACCATAAGTTCTTGTAAATAATGTTATTTGACCAGATAAAGTTGCGCGCTTAATTAGTTTCTCTTTTTCTTCTAATGATGCATCTTCTGTTAGATAAACAGCTGACTCTTTTATTGATGTCAAAGCATCAGAATTATAAAACTCCATTAGTTTTTGTTTTAATTCAAAAAAAACTAAAATAGAACGTTTTTCCGAATCTCTTTCTACTAATCTGTCATCGATTTCTCTTTTTATTCTATTAAAATAATCTACACTATTCTCAATCATAATATCATCTTTTTCAATAAATCTAAGATTATTTTCTCCAAATACAGACGGAACGTACGTATTTTTCATGATCCTATAATTATTTTCTATGACTTTTTTCGCAGGTTCACTTAGAGTTTCTAATGTATTTGTAACACCCATAATATATGCAAATTGAAGAGATATTTCAGCATATGAAAAACTGCCGCAATTAATTCGTATACTTATATTTTCATGTAGACTTTCTTTACTTCTTTTACCTTTCTCATGTTCACAATGATATGCAAATAAAGTTTTATATCCATAAACAACATTATAAACGATATTATCTTGTTCAATATATCCAATTTTATCCTGACTTACAACATAATCATGAGATTCGAAATTATTTACGTCCGAAAGCATGTCTTGTACAGTTTCTCGAATTAATGGTTCCCAATTTGGAAATCTATCATAACAAGCTTTATATTCATCCGTAGATATCACTCTATGCAATTTCAATTTTGATTTTCTCTGAGTCCAAATAAGATTAATTAAAGATGTAATAGTTGAATCTTGTAAACTAGCTGATGATGTACAGTGGAGTGCAAAAAAAATTGCCGTTGCATTTACGCATTTTCTCGAGTCATATCTGTGAAGCGCATGAACGGATTCTTCTGAAACTTTTATCAGTAATCAAGGATGTGCTATAGATTT